CCAGCCTTCTGGTTAGCAGTCAAGTGCCTTAGGCACTATGCTACCAGAGCTCCTATACAGTGCTATAGCAAATTGTTATTGTTATCTCTATTGTTGTTGGGTGCTGCTGTGTTAGTTCCAACTCTGTGATCTCATATGAAAGAGTAGAACTGTCCTATAGGGTTTTCTTATTTCTTACGGAAAGACATCACCAAGTCTCTCCCACAGAGCTTCTGGAGGGTTTGAACTGCTAACTTTCTGGTTCGCAGTTGGGTACTTAACCATGAGCCACCAAGGCTCTTTCTGTTGTTACTATCGTACAATTATGTCAACAGCAAAATACAGTATTTCTCAGCTGGGTTCCATGAGCACTGGTCCTGTGCAATGCTTCATGAAAAGGGGGCTCAGTTGTGGTGAAACGTATTTGGAGAAATCTGTATCTTTTCTCCTTCTGGATATACATAAAAGCACACTGGCATAATAAAGCCTCTGAGAAGTCCCCTAACTCATACGTAGCAGAGTGTAAGTTTTTTTTTTTTTTAATATAACATCAGTCAAACCTGTAGAAAGTTAGTATAGAGAAGAAATATGTTGTATAATTATGGGGAGAGGAATGACTTAGACAAAAGCTTGGTGATGAGGACCTGGCCTGACCTTCAGAACTGGATTTTGATCTACTACTGCAAATTAGGCTAACAGTTTTCACTTTGTTTCTGGCTGTAAACTCCTGTGGTATGAGAGTTGGCAGAGATTTTAAAGATGATCTAGAATGAAAAAAATGGGACTCAGGTGAGAACTTACTTGTTCTGGGTTATTGGCACATGAGCCAGGGCGGAAAGAACATGAAACCTCCTAACTTTTGGGTCACCATCCTTTCTACTCTTCCTTACCAATTCAAATATTAGAGATGGCCTTTGATGGAGCAAGATTCTAGGGTTAAGCTTCCAGGTGCCTGCACCTGGTTACAGAATCAGACAGAGAGCAGAGGACAGAGAAAGGAATATTAGGATAAATCTCTCATAAAAGAGTTCACCAAAATTAGTAGTGGAGAAGCTGTAACTAAGACCTGCTTGCTTCCCGTAAAAGATATTTGACTGACACCCAGAGCTGTAGTTATTGAAAGAAAGTTGACCCTGAGTTTCAAGTGATGAGCATCATGAATGACAAAAATAGCTAATGCTGTTGAGCATTTGCTGGGGGTCAGGCACTGGGCTGAGTGCTCTATAGGGGCCTCGTCATCTCCCAATAACAACCCCATGAGGTAGACTCCATGAATACTTCTTATCCCTGTGCCAAGGGGAAGCTATCCATCTGACAGCTGTTGGTGGAATTCAGAAAGAAAAGGAAGAGTAGCATTCTGTCTACTTGGCCAGATGGTCTTGCTTCATAAAATGAAAAAAAAAAAAAAAAAAAAAAAAAAAAACCCACGCATGGGAATTGCCCAGAACTCCTTCTATTTTACCTTCACTATACCTTTTCTACTATAGATAACCAACAACCAGACCGGACAAACAGTCTTTTCAGAGACTGTTATTACATCCATGGGAGATGAAGATGTCAAGAGGAACCACGTAAGTTGTTCCCCCTCCCCACCCCACCCTCACACCTTGTTTGGTCTACCAAAGGTGACCCAGACTTCAGACCATGGGAAGAAGGTGGCTGACTCTTGAACACCTCTTCTGCCTCATTTCTACTAACATTTGACTGTATTCTTAGATATCTGAACAGACTGGTAAAAGCTATGCCTCCATGCACTTCTGCATCAGAGACAACAGAGAAATGCAGTTGTCATTTGCATGACCCCATCTTAGCTTTGAAAGGAGAACAAGGAAATTCCAGGTTTATTGACTGGGGACCCTTGCGACAAGGCCTGATGAATCAGCCCCTGAAATCCCCTAAAGCCTCTGGTATGGCCCTTTATAATCCCAGCCCTGGTCAGGCAGTTTAGAGATAAGAACAACTTAAGCAGAACCCAGTGACCTAAAGGGAAAAGGGTGTTCTCCCAATTCTCTCTGGCCCCTTTGTGATTATTCCTGTCACTCAGTTGCCTGTTGTTTGGTCCAAAGGCAGGATGGTTTTTATAAAATTAGAGCGCCCAATGGGATAAGTATAGGAATGAGTCATTTATCGGTTATCTTCTAGAAGTGAGCTGGACTGACCTTACAGAGGCCTGGAGCTCCTTTATCTCAGTAGGAAGCTGTAAAGACTAAATTGCCTTCAAAGGAGTATGAAGGGTAGACTATTGTCACCACTGTCCCATTTCATCATTTTGTAATTTAATGATTTTTACAGTTGCCTCTGAAATATATTACATGTTGCCAAAACACTTAAAGGGAAAAGGGGACTTGCCATTCAAGGACAAAATCATGTGCTGTTGTAACCTTCAAATGCCTTAAAAAGGGACTGCATTATCAGATTTTTAAATTCCTGGATGAATTAAAAAAATAATCACCAAGACCCCATATTTTTCTTTCTTCTAATGCTGTATGTGTATTAATACGTGCGGGAACCTGAGAATGCTCTTGGAACATTACAGACAATAATACTATATGTCTGTCTAGAAAATTTAGCACATTATATGCAAGGGATTGGTCTGTTTTTACATTCAAATGTGAAAGAGGAAAAGGACATTGTGGCCTGTTCTTTCACCTGAGTGCATCAGTGGATGGTGATGTGGTCTGATGTCTTTGTGGGGAGGCTTTGTGCAGAGCTCTCAACCTGCCCTGCTTCACGGGCCAGTGGGTAGGCTGACTGATGTTGTGTTATTTTGTACAGAAGGCTAGGAAGAAAGGGGCATGTTGGAAGCTAGAAGGAAGATAAACCTTTGTGCATACAGGAAAACTTTCATTTCTAGAACTGTGTCCCCAAATCTGAAAAGTCTGGCCCAGTTAGCCAAGGCACCATTTTGAAGGGACACATCCTCTAATTAAAACACAGCTCACAGCTACAAAGTTTAGCACATTGTTATCTTCCTGTTTTTACATTAGAATAAGACATGAAAGAGTGGGATTTTGTTTTTCCATTGAAACATACCAAGTGTGAACCTACAGGTTCAATCACAACTAACTCCAAGATACTGGTCAAAACTTCTGAGGCGACAGGCAGAGACATTTACCAAAAATGTCCAGAGAGCAGAGATTGGAATAACCTAGCAACTTCCTTGTCTCAAAGAATGATCAGTGCCGATAGTGCTTTCTCAGCTGTAGAATTCTCTACAACAAATGTGAAACCACATTTCTTCTCTGCTGTAAGAATACTTTGTTATTTGTGCTGAAGCCTGGGGGAAGTAGGATGTCAAACTATGGCTGAACTGTTCCAAGGTTTTTGTTTGTTTCCCGTGGAGCAGTAAGCATCCTGTCACTTCAGAGCCTAGAGAGCCAAACCAAGAATGTGGGAGGACAATGTGGATTGAATGACCTCATTCTCCTTTAGGCCTCAAGTTCTCCCTGGCCCCAACTTGTTCATTCATCAGAGTAAAGACAGGCAGAACTGGCTGTTTTCTTCTTATGCCTTGGTTTCTGATACTAGAGCCTACTAATTTAATGGAATTTCAGAAAGTACCATGATAATATGAGGAGCCCTGGTGGCTCAGTGACTAAAGCACTTGGCTGCTAACCAAAAGGACCAAAAGCTGGTGGTTCAAACCCACCAGCTGCTCCATGGGAGAAAGATGTGGCAGTCTGCCTCCATAAATATTTACAGTATTGGAAACCGTAGGGGGCAGTTCTACTCTGTCCTGTAGGGTTGATGTGAGTTGGCATTGACTTGCAGGCACTTGATTTGGTTTTTGGTTTGACCATGATAACAAAACATTTTGGGTTTATTTTAATGGAGATCCATTAGGGGTGAGTATAGGCCCACTAGAGAGACTGTCACTTCCCAAAGGACCTACCTCCTGAGATGTCCTGCTGGCTTGAGGGTGGATGGGGAGGCCACATTCCAGAAAATGCAGCCCTTTCCCTTCAGTCAATCTTGGGCACATGGAAGAAGTCTAAACAAGGTGTGAGGATGTGAACCTGGGTTTACATCCTGTCCTGATGCTTACAAATTCTGCCCTCTGTGACTTGGTTTCTTATAACCCCTGTTTCACAATATTGGGTGAAACTCTACTAAGGCAAGGTTTATTAAAGCCCTTTATGTTCAGTGCAGTATTAGTGAGAAGTATTTAAAACCGGCTTGTAATTGGCTTCTCCTCTGGTAGCCTACAAAAAAATAATGGAATTTGACTGGAAGCTGAGAATATGTTTAAGAACATCACAGTCCTGTTTCCTCTAAAGTTTTGTAGCCTTGGACTAATTTCATTCTCTAGTGACCTGCCTCATACCCTGAGGAATTTGTTTTGCCAGAAGCTATGTGCTACTAGACTCCAAGTTGACTCACGCTGCTGTTCCTGTGTTTGCACGTTATGTGTGTCTGGGTATGACTGGGTTGGGTGTTAGGGATATAGACAAAGGATGGACTGGGCCAGGTGCTGACAAGTCCCAGGCTGGAGCCCCAGGTTGTATGCAGGGTGTATACAGGTTTCTATGGAAAAGAACAGTGGTATTCTGTGAGTTATGAGGTAGTCATGTGTGAAGGTATACTTGCACAGGCCTATAGCCAGACAAAAAGGAGCCCTGATGGGCTTGGCTGCCAAACAAAAACCCATCAGTGGAATTTTGACTTATAGCGACCCTATAGCACAGAGTAGAACTATCCCCACAGGGTTTCCAAGGGTGTAATCTTTTCAGAAACAGATTGCCATGTCTTCTTCCCACAGAGAATCTGGTGAGTTTGAACCACTGACCTTTTGGTTAGCCAAGGTTAGCAGTCGAATGCCTAACCACTGTACCACCAGGGCTCCTGTACCAAATAAAATTCCTCAGATTTAGCTCATCAGTTTTGCATTCCAGGCTGTTCCAAAAACCAAACACCATCTGTCCATTGGGGGGTGGGGGGTGGAGATTAGGAAGGTGTGAAGTTCCAAGAGGAACTGTGAGCTCACTGTGTTAATGTGAGAGTCTTGATGGGCTGTGAGTCACGCAGGGGAATAGGTGATGGTGACATGTCTCCACGTGCTAAATACAAAAAAAGACAGGCGCTCCCTCCTTCCTCCCTCCCCTCCTGCCTGCACCTCCACAGACACTCCAAACAAATGTCTCCACAACTTCTGGTAGGAGCGCTTCCCTGGGGGAGGGAAGAGCTTGGGCTTATGCAGATCAGTTCAAATTGCAGCTCTGTTGCCCATTAGCTTCGTGACTTTGGGGCCAGTTCTTTAACTACTCTAAGAGCTCTGGTAGCATAGTGGCTAAAGCACTTGACTGCTAACCAGAAGGCTGGTGGTTCAAACCCACCAGCCACTCCTCGGAAGGAAGGTTGGGCAATCCTACCACTGTAGTGATATTGCCTTGGAAACCCAAGGAGGGGTCGCTATGAGTCGGGGCTGACTCGATGGCAAACAACAACAACAACAACAAGCCTTAGTCAACGGCACTTAACAACAACAACAACAAAAACCTTAGTTTCTCCATTTGTAAAATGGAATTAATAAAAGTACCTGCCATATAGGACCATGAGGAGGATTTTAAATAATGTAGGTAAAACATATGTAGAGTGCCTAGAACACAAGAGCAAGCCGTCAGTAAATGTCAGACATTGTTACTATTTGCTTGCCTGAGCTTAATCCATAGTAACCAAAATTCCCATTCAGTTCACTCATTCATTTGCACATTCACTGAGCACTTGGTATGGTACAAGACAGATAAATGTAAAAATAGTCTCTAAAACCAGAGTGCTCCTAGGTTCACCAAAGTGAACCCAAAAAGCCATGGAGTTGCTTCTGACTTATGGTGCCCTTATATGTTACAGGCTCTGGTGGTGATTATCAGAACCCTCCATGATTAAGGTATCTGGCTGCTAACTAAAAAGTTAGTGGTTCGAAGTCACTAGCTGCTCAGTGGAAGAAAGATGAGGCAGTCTACTTCTGTAAAGATTTACAGCCTTAGAAACCTAATAGGGATTGCTACGGGTAGGAATCAACTTGGTGGAATTGAGTTTAGTTTTTGGAATTGTGTGTGTTACAGAGTAGAACTGCTTTCTAGTGTTTTCTTGGCTGTTACATTTTTGGAAGCAGATCGCCAGGTCACCAGGACTTTTCTTCTGCAGCACCTATCTTTTCAAGGCTATTTGTATAGCACACAGCCTTGGAAGATACAGTATCTTTTTTCCTGGCGGAGGGCAGTTTGCTTGCAGTCTATTATAAAAGATATGAGTTCTCTAAGCTTGAATTCCCTCAGCTGTGCCCAAACCCACTGCACATGCAGCTGTGGCTCCAACGGTTTCCTCTGCAATGTGACAGCCACAGTCTTTGAGGGGTGTCTGCGAGGTAAAACTGATCTCTCTGACAAGAAGTTCTCTCAGCATGACCCTGGCCTCTAATCAGTATGCTGAAAACTCCCCCAGATTTAGGGTGTAGACTCGGGCAGCATCTGAGAGAATTCACATCTAGAATCTAAAAATGTGACTTTTCTTGACCCTCCATCAATTCGTCTCTCCACACCCTCCTTTAAGAGGTTGACAACCTGTCCCCCCA